GTGCCATGGGTCCCAACAGATGGGCACTGTGGACCCACGCGGGATTGTCCACTGTCCGCCCGGCTCCCTGGTGAAAACAGGGGTGTGTTATTTGGCCCCTGGTCCCTTGGGGTGAGGGGCGGGCGGCCCCCAGGCTCTGCCCCCGCCTCCCTGCTGCTGGAGGGGCGGACCCCCCCAGCCTCAGTGGCCGGGCGGTGCTGTCTCTTCCATCAGGTTGCCCTTCTCCTAGTTTTTTTAAACTTCTCAAAGTTTTTTGTATCTTCCCCTCTTCTTCTTCCTCTTCCTTCTTTGGAGGGGAAGGTGGGGAGAGTAAATGTTAAATGGTTTGTGAATTTATTAGGATTTGCTCCAGTAAACTATTACGTTTCCTGACAATGTTTCTGCAGCCTGTATCTCGACAATTTAGAGCTGCCAGCGGCTGCCAAGCCAAACAGTTAGTTTTGGCTGCCTGCTTCCCCCTTTACTGAAATATTACACATTCCTCTCCAGTGAGTGGGATGTAAAAATAGACACTGGGCTCAGTTGTGGCCTTTCTGTTTTTAGAACGGACGTGGCCAGCTGAGACCCAGTTCCCCACATGAGGCAGCTGCCGCTCAGGCCTGGCTCGGTGGGACCAGACCCTCCGGGCGCATCTCCCTGGGGCTCCAACCGCTGCTGCCAGGATTGAGGGCACGGCCGTCAGCATCACTGCGAGGGGAGAGGGCTTCCTGTGTACCCCCGTGTCTCCTGTGAGACCATGGATTTGACTCCGCCACTGACATCCTGTCCGAGCCCAGCCTGGCTAGGCTAGGGGCTGCTGACCCCTTGGGTTCTCTTCCTGGGCAGTGGCCTTCAGCTGAGCCCAGCTTCTGTTCAGCTCAGCCCTGGGGGATAGGGTTCCCGAGAGCTCTTTCTTCCCACCTGGAAAAGCTGACTTTTTCCAAAAAGAAGATAACTGTGCTGGAACTTCCTGACTTTCCAGCCTTCATCGCAGGCTCCAGAGCTGGTTCCCCTGCTGGCCTGTTGTGTCCCCATGGCAGAGCTGTCCCTTCCTGCTCCCTGATCTGCCCCAGTGTCAGAGGGCCACCCTCACGGAGCCTGCCGTGTGGTGCCTTCAAGGGCATGGTGGGAGGGGAGGTCAGAGCCCCCTGTGGGCAGTGTGGGCTCTGGGGGAGTCTATGGGACGGGTAAGGAGCTGCATCCCATCCCTGCGGGGAGCATCTCAGCTCAGACTCCACCTCCAATGCCAGGCCAGGATGGGGCCTCCAGGGGCCCAGTCACTTCTGGGCACGGACACTGCCCACAGGTCCTAGCCGTGGGCACCAGGCCTCTGGTGACCAGGGAAGGCAGGGAGGGGGCCAGCACCCAGAGGGGTCCACCGTGAATGCTACTGATGCCCCCCAGGGAGCTGGGCTGCCCCCAAAACGTAGAACAGGAGCAGAGCCGGGTAGCACTTACTGTGTGCCAGCCCAGTCCTAGAACAACAGTCCAGCGCAGTGAGAGTGGGCAGCACGCCCTTTTCACTAACAGGATCGGGCTGGCCCTTCACTGAGAGAAGCAGGTGGCTGTGGCTCTGGACCGGTAATGGTAATGGGGAGGTGCCTCTAAGGTGGCCCCAGGGCTGGGAGGGTACCCGGCTGAGGCCAGGGCTGGGAGGGAAGGGCAGGCCCCAGGGAGGGTGGAGGCGGGAGGTGAAAAGAGGGAAACCTCTGGAGCACAAAGGGAGCGCAGGGCAGATGCCATGTTCCCGGGACCCGCACAATGGCGCCACTTTGCGCGTGATATGGAGCCTGTTTCCCTGTGCCCTGGGTGCTGCGTGCCCAGGCACCTGTGCAGGTCGACAGCCCAAGGGTAGAAGATCTGGGGCACAGTCCTGGGGGTGGCCTTGTCCCCCACCCCAGACCCCACCCCGGTCCAGTTTTGTTGAGTCTGGGAGTTCGGGAGCTGCATCGATGCGCTCTCAACGGGCAAAAAGGCCCTTTGTTCCCTTCTGTCCTCCTCCGCCCCTGCCTAACGGGCATGTGTCTTCCATACAAAGAACAAACTTTTGCCCTTTGGGGCGAGGAGTGGGGAAGAAAAAGACCCTCACCAGCACAGCTGACCCAGGAGGACTGCTGTTCAAAAGGAGCTTGTCATCGTGTTTTATTTGCAGAACAGAAAACAACGCCTGCTTCGGCAAAAAGGCTTAGAAGCCGACATAGTCTTACTGTTTTTCTTCTGTAAGTTCTTGTTTTCCTGGTTTTCCCCCAGAACCCCTGAAAACCAGGTAACCGCCTCTGTCAGCAGGGCCACTGTTCTAACCAGATGTCACCGCCCCTGAGGGCCGTCCCGAGGGCTCTGTTGGCCCCAGAGGCCATGAGAGCCTCTGTGGTTCTGTCCCAGCCAGCCCAGTGCCACTTGAGTGTGCCAGTCGAGGACCTGAAGCAGTCCTGGGACCACTGAGACCGCCTTCTCTCCCCAGCACCCCTGGATCGGCCCAGTGCTGACTTCCACATAGACACGTGTTCAGCCCAGACTTCCGGAGGCTTCTCCCCGACTCGAGAAACTGCTGATCCTAAAAGAGCCTGGGGTTGGATGAAGCGCTCAGTTTTAAGTGCCCTTCTTACCCTGCAATTTCCAAATCAGTGTCAACGCTGTTCTCTAAGTCTTGGTCCCCACTTCCAAGCTATTTTAGCAC